TTTAGCTTATATAATAGTTAAAAGGTAAAGCAAAGATACATAAGTTCAATTAAAAAAAAATTGAACTACTTAAGGTGATTTTGTATAACTTAAAAAAAAAAACGAACCATCACGCGTGAGATTTAGAAGGTTTTGCTTTATTGATGTCCATGAAATCAGCTTCATTTTTAAAACATATATGCCATTTGTATGTAGCGGCAGTAATTTTAGCTAAGCCCAATAAAGTCAAAATATTTGAAAGTTGGGTTTGGGAGTTTAAAAAATTTTCTTTTCTCCAAGTTTATTTGAGTTTGCCCGAATAAATCTGAAAAAATTTGGGCTAAGCCTAAACCCGAATGAGCTTAGCTTGAATACATGAATTCCTTTTTTATTATTAATAAAATAATATTAAAATAAGATAAAAATTGAAAACATTAATTTTAAAAAAATAAGAATTGAAATTATATAAAAATAAAAATAAAATAAAACCATATTTAATAATTTGGATATTTGATCCAGCCTAAAAGCTTAAGAGATTAGGGTTAGATTTGGCTGTATAAACTTTTTTACATGTTCAGGTATTTTAAGTTTAGCCCAAATAAGACTGGCCTGCTGGTATTGCGCGCTCTATTTGTATGTGACCAATTCAACTATCATATATTGAAAGGACAAGCATTTACTGTTTACTGATTTAAAACAGATATGCCATTTGCATGTGACCAATGCAACAATCATATATGGAAACGACAAGCATTTGTTTACTGATTTTCAATTGTTTCAGCAAAAGTTGCACATCCGCACGATGTTAACCAATTATTTTATGAAGACTACAGGGAGTGGTCCTTCTGTTTCTCAAAATCTCTCTTATTTTATCATGCATGCATGGGGAATTTACCAAATTTTAAGAATTTTGAAGATGACTGAATTTTGTGCCGGGAAATTGTTGATTATATATAAGATCTATGATGATAGTCCAATCACACATGACAAGTCTTATTTTACTAGTTGGGGTTGGTTATATGGATTGTATTATGCTATTATGTTTTATCAATAAGGGATAATGATGATTAGGTCCCAGAATACTGAATTAATAGCAGTTATGTCCCGGACAAATATTTTTTTTTTGAAAATTAGTTGAACAAATCAATTTAGATAATTACAAATTCAGAAGTTTTAATTACAAACAAGTATTTAAGTATTAAATGTAACTTTTAGATTATAACAAAAAATTTTGTTTACAACTATTTGAATTAATACTTACAATTCATTTTATAAAAAATTTTGTCCAGTACCTAACTATCATTAATTCAGTATTTTGAGACCTAACTGTCATTCTTCCTTATCAACAATTCACTCTTGAGATTTATATCATGCACCAAAAAGGTCATGTTTAATAGGCATCAACATTGAAATTTTTTGTACATGTTTATGCCATTTTAAACAATGTTTAACCATCTTCTAAATTGATGCCACCCCAATTAACTCTTCCATGCATATGGTCATTATGAATTTTATACTTTTGGTATAACTATATATTTTCCTTAGCGTCCTTGTCTTTGTTGCCTTAACTATTTTGTTCTTGTTGTCCCTCATAAATCATAGCATTCACTAACTTACAACATGGGTCTTACAGTAGTTTGATATATCTTCCTTTTAAATTTATAAAGAATTTTTTGATAAAAAAATAAGGACGAATGCCTCTTTCTCTATTTTATCCACCCAATTTTTATTCTGTGTTTAACATCTCTATTCAATTTCATCATCATTTTATACAATTGATTCCATATACCCAAACTTTGCCACGTGGTTGTGGTAAGATCTGATTTCCAATTTTCACTTCCAAATCATTTGTAACTACTTGCCTTTTATCAATGTGAGACTATTTCCCACTTCACTAGAGCAATATGGGACTCTTTCCATTATATATAGGTAAGAGGGTGCCTTGCCCCGCATCACTCAAGCAATGTGGGACTATTTTTCTCAACATGTGCATACTAGCCAATCCTTCCAACAAGTTTGCTTTTTTTTTTTTGGCCTCCTTGTCTTTGTTCATTTTTTTTGTTACCTCCTTAGGCTTATTTTTTTATCTATGAACATTTTTTTATCTCCATTCTTTTAGCTATTTATCTATATTTTTTGTTTCATATGATATCATTTTAATTTGGTTCTAATTTTCCTAAAAAAAATGCTTAATGAGCAGCCTCAAAAAAAAAAAAAAAGGGAATACACCCATTTCATCTCTTTTTTAACCGATTCTTTGAGCTTATTTATTTACATGTAAACATCTCTTTCATTTATATTCATCCAAATATTCATTTACATATCTTTTCAAACAAATTTATTTCTTGTTTTTTTTAAATATGTGTGATCATCATCTCAAAAAAATCAACAATGATTTTGAAATTGAAAAAAAAAGAAATTAATTTAAACTTCTCTATAATATTTAAATATATTAAATTAATTGCATCCAGTCCAACCCTGGTCTGACCATTGAACCCTGAACTGGTGCTTCAACCAGTTCAATAGTTGGTCTGGTTTTCATAACACTACTTTTTATTGAACGTGTGGTCCATATATGCTATCTTAATCTTGCAAATTTATTCAGAGAATTATTAAGTATATTTAATTAGATTGTATGCGTGGCTCGGAGGAAAATAGTTGATATATATAGTGTCCTCTAGCAAAAGAATGATGAGGATTTATCGCCAGCAAGAATGATGTTTGATTAAAATATCAAAATTAGAAAACAAAACAATTTAAATTATTGGAGCCAAATATGAGAGACTCTTAATTCCCTAAGTACTTACTAGATATTCCAGAAACGGATTAATCTCCAAATATATTGTTCAAACACCCTACATTTTGGGCTGATAAAATTTTGACGCCCAGGATGATTTGAAAAGGAAATAAAAATTTGGCGAAATTCTATAGTTAACGTAGTAATCCATGGAAGTTTAAATTTTTAGGATCGGTACGAACTTTTAAAACCGATCCAACTACCAGGAATTAAAATTCATAAAAACGGAGACGCATTTCGATGGAGATGATCATAGTCTTAAATTTATTTCAAAATTAAAAATAAAAATAAGATAAATATACACCATTCAAAATAGATATTAGCCATTCACTCAATATGGACAACCTAACTACGAAGACATAACATATAAACAAAACTTTTCTAATTACCGTAGATTCCCAAGAAGAATAATTTGATCATCAACAAATCCAACAATTTGTTCGACTAAGATGAAAAACTATTCACATAGTAGAAATTAACTTGAGAATCACTTTCGAGTTTTCTGCTAACCGATTCATCCTCCCTGAAAAATCACTTCAAGCTTTTGTTTAGTGATAATTTTTTATTCATGCATATATATGAGAACCACCACGAGTTTTTAATTATATTTTCTCTCTTTGAAGTCTCTCTATCATACGAACGGTTGGTGTTTGTTTTTACTATTGTGGCTATCACTACCAAACTAACTAATTTATTTTTTAAATCAAGCAATACAAGCGTTATTTCCACGTTAAGGGGCTTGAGTTTAAGGGAGGGTACAGTGTTGAAAAATGTGATTTGATTATAATTGATCTATGATCATTTCTTGTAATTTCCTATTCTGTTTATGTTCACCTATCACATTTAATTTATTATAATTATTGTAGATTGATTTGACATTTATTAGGATATCTGATTTTATTCTATATAAACCCTCACAAGGTGATTGAATAAAGACAGTTCAATTTACACATTTTCTTCCCCTGTTGTGCTTTTCTAGAATATTCTTTCTTTAACTACGCTTATTTCTTTCATTGTCCATCTGATTAACTTCAATTCAACTTGAAATCATTTTAGAAACTTTCCAAGACTTCAAAAACATTGTATAATACAAAATGTAAGTCTAGGAATATTGTTTTAACTTGGAAACCCTTAAAAAAAAAAAAGACATTCAGGAATATTGGTTTAATTTTTTAAAACATTAAAGCTCGTCATGGTCTTACATTCTTACTCGTTTAGTAAGATATACAAGTTTTAAACTTGAACAGTGCTTCCTCCTTAAATATAAGTCATCAAGCATACATTTACCTTGATAAGCTCCCAGGACACAATTCAATTAAATTTGACTTCTTCAAAAACAACAATCAATAAAAAATTAAAATAAAATATGGATAATTCAAAATTGATTTAGATGGTTCAAATGAAAAATGAACACCCTGTCCTTGTTCTTGAAATAAAAATTCATTCAAACTGAGGTCTAATGGATCACCAATGCATCAAAAATTAATATATGTGTGTGTGATCTTATACAATGAATTTTATTATTAGTGTGCCTATAGGAATCAAGTATTCAATTATGACAGAAATTCAAAGCTTTTGTCTTTAAACTTACATAGAATTGAAAAAATAACCATGCTATGCAAAGAGAGGAGTGCTAGAGCCACATCAAAAGATGATTTGAGCATTGACATTATAACCCAGAAATGGAGACTATTAAAAAAAATAACCATTCAATATTTTGATGGCAGCCAACAGCAAGTACAAGTGTTTTTTCGAATAAAACAATTATATAATTATCTTAAAATCCTCCTCACATGCATATGGTAATTGCCTAAAACTTTGATTATACTTACGTGTAATTCTTCTCTTAATTGTATTCTAAATTGTAAACGGGAGAAGAGAGATAACATGAGCAAATCAATCAATCGTGGTGCTCAAAATATGTGGTCCATTGTCGTTAACTTATACCATGTTTCAGTGGTCCAGTTTAGGATACTCCTTTTCAAAAAAGAATGAATTTATTTATTTATTTATTTTGGGGCGTGCCTCCAAAACCATTTATTTATAACATGCAAATATACATCGTATTTTAGCCAATAAAAATGGCTCAATTCAATGGAAACCACAAATAGTGGTCCTTCCTCTTATCATCAACATTCTCTTGCATGAATCCTCGTTCATTGTAATCAACGTGCTCTAAGTCAACTAATGCTTGCTCTCTAACCCATTGCAACTCTATAAAGAGAAGCCGTGCAAGCTTGTATCTCCACACCACACCCTCACTTTTCTCATATATTTCAGTCCTCACAGTACTCAACTTGCAATGAAGATTGCATTGCTTGCTCTGTTTTTCCTTCTCTTTGCTTTCTCCACACAATACCTAACCCTCGCTGCAGAAGAAGTGCTTGACACCGACGGCAATGCTCTTGTGCCTGGTAAGTCATACTACATTGTCAATGCCTCAGACCATAACCGTGGAATCGAGACTGAATTGATCGATGGCCAAACCTGCCCGATCTCGGTGATCTTCGGCTTAGATGCTAAGAAGGTGAATTTTATTACGAAAAACCCGGATGCCACAAGCATCAAGACCGGAGTAGACGTGTATATCAATTTCACTCAGGTTTCTCCATGTGCTAAATCAGCGAACTGGACTGTTGCAGTTAATGGTAGCAAAGTTTACCCTGTGCTGATTGGTCCACCTAATGGTGTTACAACGATTGAAGGAGAATTCCGCATTAAGAAATCTAAGACTAGTGGTGTATATAATATTGTCTTCCATCTTTTTGGAACAGATAATTATTACTTTGGGACCAAGCCCTCCGGACTAAATGAAGACATTTATCTTTTGGAGCTATGTGAAGAGGAAGGATTCGATGTCCAGTTCATCGCTTATGAAACACCCACCTTAACTTCCACCTATGAACCTCGTATCCGCAAGAGGGTTGCTTAAGTGTTTGATATTAATGTTGCTGCTGATACTGTTTAACAAGCTCCCTTATATGGCTCTAAATAAATCAGCATGTGTGTGTGTGTGTTTGTGTGTTGTTGTTGTTGATTATCTGTTATGAATAAATGTCGTCATTTGCCTTGTTACTTGACTTCTTCTTCCTCAACTTAAACCTCCTCTTCTCTTTCTCCCGCAATATGGAATTTAGGGCCTGTTTGATTTTTGTTTTCAAAACCTGGCTTAATTGAAAAATAAATTAAAGCTAAAGAAAAACCTAAGGAAATCTCCTGTTATAAAAATTCCAACCAATCTTCATGAAATCTGGCTTCAATTAAAGCTTAAGCTTGCCTCTTTATTTTTCTCAGTAACGCTTGTTCCTGCTTTCTCCGACTCCCTCCAACTTGAGCCCATCAAAGTCCTCTTTCAAGGATCTAAGACCATAGGATTGAAGCTCAAGAGGAGTAGAACAAGGTTTGCGAAGAGGTTTCGGGGAGATAAGTTCTTGTTTTAATTTTCTCCCTTCTTTCTTTTTTCTCCATGAAAGGCTCTCAGGCTCTTCTTTTGTCTAGTTATACCTTGCGCGTTAATAAATGCAAGAAGGTGGACGACATGGTACTGATAAAAGTGAGAAATTAAGTTATTTTGAAAAGTTTGTTGGAACCCACCAATCCTAATTAGCCATATAATAGAATGTCTATTTAATTTTTTGCTTTTTCTCTCTCTAATATCATGAATGTCAGAATCTTTTTATGTCTACAGCAATATAAATGGCATGGTTTTATTGGATGAAGCAAGGGTGACATGGTGTATTAGATCCATGCAAGAATTTCTCTGATATGGTGCAATTTTATTGGACAAAGCATAGATAACATGCTACACAGGGTCTATGTAAGAATTTTTCTTTAAATTGATTCTGTCATTAATAACTATAGAGAAAGAAACACAAGAAATTAAAGAGGTGTATTGTAACTTTATTAGACAGAGCATGGATGATGTGGTGTATTAGGTTGATGTAAGAATTTATCTACAAGGTGAGGTTGGAGTAGAGCAAGCATGCAGTTTAATTTAATTAGCACGTTCACAATGAAAGTCCATTCATGCAAGATATAGATGTTGATAAAATCAAGGAACACTGCTTGTGGTTTCCATTGAATTGGGCCATTGCTATTTGCTAAAGTCCGGTTATCAATAAATAATTTTTGGATGCTCCTCAAAATAAATAAATAAATAGTACTTAAATTGTTTTGCTGGAGGAATCCATGTCTGGAAGAACCCATTGAGCTGGACCACTGAAATTTCTCCTCCATTTGCAAAATTAACAAAGAATATATATATATATATATATAGATGAAGTTGAAGGGTAAAAATTGATAGGATGTGCTTAAGGAATTAATAATCCTAGGCTAGGCTAATTCTTCAATGCGAAGATAGAATTTTTCGTTAAGAGGGGATGATATTACAATTTACAAAGCATATACAATACTCTCTTTAGTCCCATTCATAAGATGAAAAGAGAAGAATTTTTTTTTATTTTATTTATAAATCACATTATTAATTTTTTTATTATAATTTAATAAATCAATATATCATTGATAAATATAATAAAGCAGTCATAATATAAAATATAATAAATATTGGGTTATTTGTTTAAATTAGTTTTATAACATGGGTTATATCTGCAAAAACCCCGTAAATTTTATATTATTTAACCTCAAACACACATAAATCAGTATATTATTCATAGGTATAATACTTTATTTTTTTTCAATTATTAACATGATAAAATATTTTATTTAAATATATTTATATGACTCCTTATTTTTTAAAAATGTTTTAAAAAATTATTTTTAGGAAATTTTTATTTAAAATGAATAATTTGAAATTTTTTAATCTTATAAAATATGCATTATATTATTTATTTTATTAATATATTATTTATGAATATTATTTGATATATATTATATTAAATTATATATACATAATATTATATATTATTTAATAAATTATATTTTTGACCAAAATATTATAAATATGATTAATGTAGATTAAAATTAATATTTTTTTCAAAATTTTAAATTCAAATATAAATTTATATAAATAATATGTCAAAAACAAGAGAAATTCTTAGGTAGTCTTAGTCCATCACATCATTGGTTATCTATCCAATAAAAATATGACATTTAGATGTTATTAAATATAAATTAATTCTAATATTAATGATAGTAGAAGGAGAAAAGGCAAGAAATTAAATATGCATTATGTTATAAGAATAAAATTAATTAAAAAAATAATACACAAGATTTATTTAGATTACTTGAAGTATTTTAATTGGACAGACTATAAATAATGTGGTGCACCCAGTCTACCTAAATATTTCTCCAAAAACACACATCCTACAATTTTATAATGTCATGTCAAATTCAAAAAAAATAGTAATAAATTTGACTTTTATCTTTTTCAAAAATTTCTCAAAATGATAAATAGATCAACTATTAATCTCTTCTCTCAAAATAATTTTTCTTTTCTTCTTCATATGCTAAAAAAGAACATTATAGCTTAAACATTTTTTGACAGCGATAATTACAATATGATTATAGCTTAAAAATTTTTAAAAATATTTTTACTTCATAGGAAAAAATAATTTTTATTTTAACAAAAAGAAAGTTGATTTCAGCACATCATTTATAGAGCCAATATTTTTTTTATGAAAATAGAGCCAATATTTTTCCCTGTAAGTTAATCTCCTCCAATAAATTACTGGAGTTAAAAAGCTCACATGACTAAATATCCATGTAATTTTCAAAGGAATTGAAAAATGAAATAGGGCAATAATTAGTTTAATTGGTTCGATTATTAATTAGCATCCAAATGTTAATGCATTAAAAACAAAAAGTTTTATAAAATAACCAGGAATGTCGCAAATAAACGTCGAACTCAAAGAGTCGCAACCAGCTTTAAAAAATTCCGTATGTGTATTTTATCCCATTTGATATGATTCTTGGCTCCCACAAACTGAAAAGTTAATATTATATCCCCAATTTTCTTCTCAAGTTAACTGTTTGGTTTCATGTTAAAGAAATGAACATATGTCAAGCTTTTGCACTTTACAATATGGAGGCTTCTTCCCTACACGTTTATGAAATGTCAAATTAGGGAAGTTATACTTCTCACGGATCATAAATAAGTTAGTTTATTGAAGTTGTTTTTTAGTTTTTCTACCATAACAGGAGTCCTCAAATCTCTCTATCCATACGAAGCAGATATCATCTAAAAGATAAATTACCAAATTATTCTTAGGCCACGTACATACAATTGCAGCTCACCTCAAACTCGATATAAAGTATCCACATATAGAAACTTATTGGAAGAATTGTTTTGATCCTAAATATAGGACCTTAATCTTCTTTGTCTCTCACATATCTGTTTGATATTCTGGTGTTTTAAATGATTAAAAGGAGGGGGTAGTTTAGGTAAAAACCAACACATTTATTTTATTCTGGGAAGTGATTAGTGGGGGAAAAATTCTTGTGTAGAAGTACAGTTCAGGGAGAGAAAGCTCAAGAAGAAAAAAATATCAAAGGGCAATGTTGATAAAACTTGGTAATGTCCGTTCCTTTTAATAACTGTGGGTCAATTTATACAAATAAAACAAGAATAGGAAACCCTAATAGAAATTTAAAAAAAAAAGAAAGAATATCAATAAGGGACCTCTCAAAGAATTTAATAGTATCTGACAAGGATTTCTAATAAGTAAACATTTTCAAATGAACAAGTAAAATTATTATTTTAACAAGTATCTAATCAATTTAGCTGTTTATGGTCCTTGTCAAATATTAAATTATTGGAAGAATTATATTCAAGGACCTCTCAAAAGAATTATTCACATACAAGGATCAATAAAGAATTGTTCGTTGTTAAAATGGTAATAGAGGCTTTTTTTTCCCCTCTCTGGAATGGGTCTTTATCTGCAAATAATTCTCTTGATTTTCCGTTAATACTTTTATGGGTCCTTCATTGATATTCTCCCTGAAAATACAATCTGCAATTACATACAATAATTACAATACATGTGAAAAGGGTTATCGAAACAGAACGAGAAAGTAAACTACTCTCTTAAGTCCTTAATACAAGGCAAACTTTAAAAGATATTCTTTTTATCCTTAATACTATACAAAGTTAAAGTAATTGATGTATTTCCTTTAGATTTTGGTCGATGATGTGTATGATTGCGGAATTGTGTGGTTATCACATTCTACATTAATCTCTCACTAACGAGGGAGATTTTTGTCAATTAATGTCTTGATCAAGCTAGACCATTCAATCTAGAAGTGTGGATTTGTGAAATTCTCAAAATTAAGAGGTGTTTGATTTTTGTTTTCAAAAAATGTTTTTTATTTTCAAAAATAAAAAAACATGTTTAGGTAAGTATTTTGAATTTAAAGGTTTACCATACAATTCTCATTTTTATTTTAAAAATAAAAAATGGAAACATCTTCATTGTCATTGTTTTTGAAGAACATTACATTTGATTACTGTAAATTACCTTTAACTATAACGAACCACTATCACAAGTCATCACCATTAACTACCAACGACCACCGTTATCAGTTATTTTTAACTCTAAAATTATTTTTAAATTAACATAATCAAACATATTTTTATTTTGTTATTTCAAAAAAAATTTTTAAAATGGTTTACATAATAGTTTGGTTTGATGGAATACACACACACACACACACACACACACACACACACACACATCCATATATATGTAGTCATAACATGTTTGGTTTGATCATATTACACTCACTAGTTAATAATTGCTTTGATATGTTTTTTTGTCTCTCTCAAAAATATCAAACCAATTATTGAATTGGTTGAGGTAGTATCCTACAATTCGATAACAGCATAAAGTTGAACCATGGCCGAATTGATAGTGATTAAATGATAATTGTTTGGTAAATTAAAGATATTGAAGTCCCACTAAAGTAGCTTAAATTTTAGCTTATCTAATAGTTGAAAGGTAAATCAAAGATATATAAGCCCAACTAAATCAACAGAACATCCTCGGACCATCATCACCACGTGTAAGATTTAGAAGGTTTTGTTTTATTGATTGGTCCCCAAGAGCACCTACATGCCATTT